CGCCCGGTGACGAGCGCTGGACATTGCAAGTTCCACTCCTCTAGTGATCCAACAGCGCCACCTGGTGACTACTATAGAACATTACAAGCTCTGCACTTTTGATAACTCAACAGCGCCACCTGGTGAACGGTATAAGACATTACAAGTTTTTGCATCTCCAGTGACCCGACGGCGCCCCCTGCTGACTGTGGCTGGAACTGCACCAAAGAGTGCTAAAAATTGAACTATTTGATTTTCTTTTTTGCCGGTTTTATCGGTTTTGTTCTTGAAGGGGATTATTGGTGGGTATAGGGGTATTGTTTGGTTGTTTTACTTGGTTTTCTTTTTCCCTCGTGTTACGTTAATACACACATACCTTTTAATAAAGGGCTGTTATTTTTTTTTCCCTTTTCCATAATTTGTTTTTCTTCAATCGGAGCCTCTTAATTTCGGACCTATAATTGCTAGAGAAGAAGGTTTGGACCTTTTTCTCCTAATCCATCCTCAGCAAAAGACCCTTGTCTCAATTAAACTGGGACAAGAGGTAATTTATCTTCAGTTGAAGATTGAACTAATTGCAGATTCTGCTTTTATTTTTGCAAACAAAGCACTAATGAGATCAACACATGCTATCAAACATTATTTAATTTGAGCAATCTGCAAGCACTTTAATTCTGTTCTACAACCGAGATACAGATTTCAATAAAGTCAGAATGTGAAACTGGCAGACAATGGTGAAGACCCACAAGTGTGAATGATCTATAAAGCTCTTACAATGTGTGATAGACACACGTGAATGCTCTGAAGTAAAAAGACATCTCACAATTTCATGCTGAATGAAACCATCTTCTACAGATTATTGCAAAGCTACTTAGGAATTCATGGCAGACATCTGAAGGTATCATTGTCTGAATCTTGAACCTCTGCATGGCAGCATTAGTCACCTGCACAATGTGAAATAGTATTATACTATACAACATTTAGTGACAATCCTGTGTAGTAAAAAATATTAAATCTTCATCAGGCAATGACCTCGTGCTATTACCAATCTCCACATTAGCATATTTATTTAATTTTCATAACGGTAGCAGTGAAATAAAATCTTAATTAATCCACTGCCTAAGAAGCAGAGGTCTCACCACATTTTCTCCCCATTGGCATTCACCATTTTGCTGCCTCACATTTCAGCTGTAACTTTCTGGGGCCAAATGCATCTCTCTCTTCATCCTCTATCTGTAAAGCACCCAATGCCATGGAGCCTGTGCTGAAAGGTGAAGGGCACCATGCACAAACGTATATTCCCATAAGTTATTTCTAACCACTTCACTGCTCTTGACTGACAAGAAACTACAGAAATCTGTCAAGTCCCCTTTTATCAACACCACGTCTCTCTAAGGGCTGGAGCCCCTCTGCTCTGGAGCCAGGCTGAGAGAGCTGGGGGGGTTCACCTGGAGAAGAGAAGGCTCCAGGGAGACCTGAGAGCCCCTTGCAGGGCCTAAAGGGGTTCCAGGAGAACTGGAGAGGGACTGGGGACAAGGGATGGAGGGACAGGACACAGGGAATGGCTTCCCACTGGTTTAGACAGAATATTGGGAAGTAATTGCTGGCTCTGAGATTGGTGAGGCCCTGGCACAGGTTGCCCAGAGAAGCTGTGGATGCCCCTGGATCCCTGGAAGTGTCCAAGGCCAGGTTGGACAGGTCAACAAACACACTACAGCATTCCTGGTTTTCATGTGTTCTACCACTGGAATCTACCTTCCATCTCCTGGGCAGCAGTAAGTGGTCATTAAAGTTTACAGCGCTAATTAGTATTCATGAGAAACATCTTTCTCAAATGCTGTGAGGGACACATGCCATTATTAAGATGTGAAATCTGACACCATTAGCAATAACTGTGTTACCTTAACACAATGGATTCAAAAGTTCTCTCAGCAGTGAAGGACGAAAGAATTAGTTATTCTTTTCTGTGATTATAAAATAATCTGATATTAATTGAATCTCAGAGAGGAGGAGAAGTTAATTATTTACGTTCGACATTGCTAGAATTTTAATATAAAATAACCCTGTAATTGCTTGATTTCATCAAAATAATTCCTTCAAAGCAGCTTTTACAGCAACCTATAAACATCTGCTCCCCCAGATGGCTGGTTTTCCTCCTCACTTTGCTATCCTAAGCTTCTTAACATTAAAACTGTGTCTGTGTGTGGCTACTTCCCAAAGACAGAACCCCCCCACACACACCAGTTATTTATTCATTTTATGGCTGCAGTAGGAAGTTGCTGGGATAACAACATTCCCATATGGATGCTTCTGATGTTACCACAAGAAAGGGGATGTGATATGTGCTCTATGCAAATTTTAAGCTGTTGCAACTTTCTTTAAAGTTACCCATGATGAACAAGCCCTCAGGCTAGCACTGGCTGGATGTCTTCTCATACAAGGTGTAGCCCTCCGTGAAAATGAATTCCAGCAGGACTCTGGTGGCCCAAGGTCTGTCCCCTCTGTCACCTCAAGACAAAGGGCTCCTCCTGACTAACATCACTACTGAGAAGCTGTCAAAACCTGTACCCTCAGGCCACAGCTCCAAACCAGCCTACAGGGCTGCTACAATTGCTGCCTTTTGGGACTCTGGAATAATGTATGAGAGTAAAGGTGCTCCTATACCTCAGGTTTGAGAGAAGCGCCTTGATTAGAGTTAAAGGAAGTACAAACAAGCCTGTATCAGTTTTCAGAAAGACATTCAAACTAGAGGTAAATTCACAGGCAAAGGGGAACAGAAAATCATCTGTACATCCACCTGCTCCTGGACTGACTTCCCAGGGCTCCTCTGGGTGTGCCCTAGAGTAATGAACTCCAAAGTGGGGCGTGCAGGAAGAGAATATGTTTTGTACCACTAATAAATAACATTAGAAAGTAAAAAATAGTGTTTATTTCTTCTTTACCCCACCCTCTTTTAAATTCTGGTTTTGCATATGTTTTATATGTTTTATAGTGTACACAGTACACCAGCACAGTAGTACAAGCATTTAATTTATAAATAAGTAAATATATTGGGCAGGACTGCTAGAATTTTTTACAGCTAGGGCTGTTCAGCCAAAGAGGTTTGGAGGCCACTGCCCCAGAAGACAGGTTGCGACAAAATTGCAGATTCCTGTTTGTGGATTTTCAGTAAGTGTTGGTATCCTGAGCAGCAAAGCCTGCTCCCACATCTCTGCCTGGACCAGGATGGTTTAGGAGGAAGAGTAACAGTTAACAGCCAAGGAAAACCAGATCTGGGACCACCTAAAGAAAAATACGTGCAGGTTGAGATATTAGAAGTTGCTAATCTAATCAGAAGCAACCACCACAGCAGAGACCTCCTTTCAGAGAAGAAAAGACTTCAAAATACAACTAAGAATATACACATGAAGAGAGATACCTGTCACAGTCAAAGTGAACTGCTGTTAGCTGGTGTTTATTTGAGTTCTGTTCTTTCATAGAGACCTTAATTTAAGACTAGAAAGGGACAAAACTAGAGGAACTAACTGTGGAATGTACTCCCATTACATCCGGACAGTCAAAGAGAAGGACTCTGCGCCCTGCAGGGTGAAGATTCATTTGCAAAGATACCCCAAGACTGCCACTCAAAACAGCTGTGAAGAGAGATGATTTCACTGCCTCCAAATCCTCTGAGAAACTGCAGCCAGCAGAACGCCACCAGAAAAGCTCCACCAATTTTAATGGGATGCTGCTTGGTATGAATATTGCTTAGATCCAACAGCAGAGTGGGAAAGGTTAAGGGATAATAATAGGATAAAATAACCCCTGGAGACTGAGTGAACCATAGATGCACAGGGTTGTACTGGGAAGACAAAGGACTTGAGATATTAAGACAGGCAGCTGCAGCATAAAAATCCAAATATTTGACGCCAAATGATGCGATCCAGTGGTGGTGGTATCCATTTTGCAATTAAAATACCTAAAATTAGGTGTCTAAACAGCAATCTACTCATGTGCTGAATACCCACTCTGATCAATGGGAACTCAATCCCAGCCAGTGCAGGTTAGGGTGCAGTTCAAGTGACAGGGTTAGGACAGACCTCCTTGAGGGTGACATCGGGTTTCTGTAACTGCCCTGATCTCTGTGAAGATCTAAGTAGAACAGGAACTCAGATTCCCAGTGAACACAGAGATACCAACACTCAGCCACCCACCTTTAGGTGTCTACATCCCATCTCCTTGGTGTGTAAGACAAGCTGCAAGGACAAAATAAAAGACGCTCCAGCACCATCCCCCTAAACCATTTTAAAAGGGAGTTTCAACCCCTTTGTCTGATCAGTAGAGAACAAACCAGGAACTGTAAATGGCAAGGGCATGCACTGCCTAACACCTACCTCATCCAATAAACCCCACATTTAAAGAGATATTTACCTGTGAAATTAGTTAATTAGAGTTTATGCACAAGTGAAAGCGAGTGCTGACTTTTATCCCCAGCCTCTCCACACTGAGAAGCAGGTGTTGTGGATTTCACAGCACTGTGGGAGACTGGGAAGAGACACTTCAAATGACTACAATTAAATAATGTTATTATTTCTTTCATCCCTTCCTCAGAAAACCAGATTTCCAAGAATGCAGCAAGCCAGATTTCATGCCAAGGCCTCAGAGCCTACTAAGCACCTGCAAGTCTTACTGCCTTCAGTCAGGAGGACTTGGCACAGAATTTCAGGCTACACTAAAACCTGAACTGCAGCTGCTACTCTTGAAAAGTATGCAATAAACAAAACCACTTGTTTTTTGGACAGTCTTTTCAAGGATCTTTGACTTAGAGGGATCTTTTCAAGGATCTTTTCAAGGATCTTCGACTCTACTGTTAGCTTAGTAAGCATGATTTAGGCAAAATTAACCTTCCATGCACGCTGTTCACTCCAATTGTATAAAGCTGGAATAGGAATTACAAAAACAGCTGACTTGGCAGGTGGAAGTGCAGGGATGCTCACATGGGACAAGGAAGGACACTGCACTTGCAGGAATTAACTACTTTAATTTTTTTCTGCCTTCTTTTAATCACATTCGTTTTTCCTTCCTCGATTTCTTATTGCCACGTTCTTGTTAAATTGCCCCTTCCTATTTACTTCGGGCAAATTCTCTTTTATAAAATATTCTTATGGCAGTACCTGAATTGCTGCTCTCGTTTCTCAGCCACCTGTTGTTGCCTTTCTCTTTCCCTCTTCTCTCTCAGTAATTTTATTTGTTCCTTCATCTTTGCTTCTTTGTCCTGTGCCTCCATTTTTGCAAGTGTGTCCATCTCAGCAAAGTACTTAATCTCCTCTTCCTCCAGAAGCTCACGAAGCCTGTAATGAAAACATTTAAATAAAGGCTAAAGCAATCCTGTTGAAGGATAAAGTTTGAGTTTACTTGTTATTAGCACAAAACGAGTACTGGGCTCCTTTCAACACTTCTTGCAAATGCCAAAGAAGGGAACATCGGATTTTAACTCGGGGATCATTCCAGTTGTGTCCATGGAGGGAATTTTACAGCACAACACAAGTGATTTTTGCCCAGGCACAGTTTAAACTCCTTATCTTACAAACCCACTTTGTTGCTTTACGACTTCAGTCCCCCCGTTAAATAAATTCTTCTCGTTTTCAGACTACAGTTGTCACCAGATAATAATAATTTGATTTTGTAGTATTGTTATCCTTCAGCACAGAATCATGGAATCTCCTGAGTTGGACGGGACCCACAAGGATCACTAGGCCAACTTCTGGTGCTGCACAGGACACCCCAACAATCCCACCCTGTCCCTCAGAGCGTTGTCCAAACTCTCCCTGAGCTCTGGCAGCCTTGGGGCCATGACCACTGCCTTGGAGAGCCTGTTCAGTGCCAACCACCCTCTGGGGGAAGAACCTTTCCCTGAGATCCCTCCCTTTTCCATGCAACTTTCACGAGAAAGCAAACTGGCAATTTTTAAACACGCCATCGTTCACCCCTCTATTAAATCTAGCAGTGAGAAAGAAATCCGGGGCTACAGAATCCAGAAGTTACCAATGCCAGCCCAAATGCCACAGCGTCTCTGCAGAAAAGGATCTGGGCGTCCCGGCAGACAAGCTGAGTGCAAGTCAGCAATGCACCCTTGTGGCAAAGAAAGCCACTGGCAGCTTGGGCTGCGAGAGGAGGAGCACTGCAAGCAGGGAGCGGGATCCTTCCTCTCTGTGCTGCTGAGACCAAATCCAGAGTGTGGGTCCCATCCTGGGTTGCCCAGCACCAGAAACACACAGCCCGAGGGGAGGGAGCCCAGTGGAGGCACACTAAGGGACTGCAGAATTTCTCCTAAAAAGAGAATCTTCCTCTCTCTTCTGAGAGGGCTGGGACTGTTCAGCCTGGAGAAGGGAACGTTCAGGGTGATCTTATAGAAATGATAATACATAAATACCTGAGGGGAGGGAATGCAGAAAAGGCAGCTTCTCCTCAGCAGCGCCCAGTGACAGGACATGAGGCAGTGGGCATGAATTCCACATGAAAACAAGAAAACACCTTTTTTTGGTTTTCCTTTTAACTGTGAGGCTGCTCAGATACACCTTTTTTTTTTGTTTTCCTTTTAACTGTGAGGGTGCTCAGATACTCCTTTTTTTTTTCCTTTTAACTGTGAGGGCGGTCAGATACTGGACAGGTTGCCCAGAGGTGGTGGAATCTCCACGTGTGGAGATAAGCAAAACCCAAATGGACACACACTCCTGGACAACCTACTCTAGGTGACTGAGCAGGGGAGGGACCAGATAATCTCAAGAGGTTCCTTCCAACCTCAGTGTTCTGTGGAATACACGTACAATTTCTCTGGAGTCACATCAGACCAAGAGACCAAACTGATGACCTTCATGGCTCTAAATTAACTTGACATGAAATAGTAACTGAGAAATTAAACGGTCTGATTTTTTCCTAAAACCAGCACAGCACTATTCTGTTGTTTACAGGGCAATAATATGCCTCACCTTTAGTATCTTTGAAAGACTTGTGAAAAATTTTTATTTTTTTCAGCTGACTGTGCTGCAAAATGTTATTTGCAGGACCTAAACATCAACTTGATTAGACTGCAATGAAATCCTCAGTTAAACCCCAAAAATAGAAGCTGTGGATGTCTGTGGCAGGTGGGTTAGAACCAGATCATCTTTAAGGTTCCTTTCAACCCAAACCATCCTGGATTCTCTGATACTGCTCCCCATCCCTGGAAGTGTTTAAGGACATGTCAGATGGCCTTGCAGCAACCTGGTCCAGGGGAAGGTGTGCCTGCCCACGGCACAGGGGTGGAATGAGATGAACTTTAAGGTCCCTCCCAGCTCAAACCATTCTGCGATTACACCAAGGTACTCTTAATTCTCTTTAAAAATCCAGCAATGAAAGTGCTGTACTACTACTTTCGTCCTGCATTTGGCAGGCAAGGAGTCTCCAAACGCCACCTAAGCAGCACTAGTTACTGTGTTTGAACGCCTATCACTGGTGCCTGGCTCTCTGGGCACACAGTGAAGTTGGAAATGGCAAGGCAGCCGCTGGTATAAGCTACTTGTTTGCTTACCTGTCTCTTCTCACGTCGATCTCCTCCAGATAGTCGCACATTTTTGCCCGGGCCTTCTCCTCCACTGCCCGGTGCACCCATTTGTGTTCCCTGCTCTTCTGCCAGTCGCAGACGTTTTGGTAGTGCTGGAACACCCGCAGCTCACGAGCGTACTCCTGCCGATCCCCCTCCCTCACCCGCTCGGCCAAGATCTCCTCTTCAAGGGCGTTTTTCTTGTAAGGCTTGGATATCTGTAAGAGAAAGGAATTAAGAGAAAGTGTGGAAGCCTCACAGCAACCTTCCAGGATCCAAAGGGGCCTACAGGGGAGTCGGAGAGAGACTCTTCATCAGGAACTGTAGTGGCAAGACAGGGGGTAATGGGTGCAAACTGAAAGAGGGAAAATTTAGGCTAGGTATGCGGAAGAAGTTCCTGGCTGTGAGGGTGGAGAGGCCCTGGCACAGGTTGCCTCTGGGTCCCTGGAAGTGTCCAAGGCCAGGCTGGACAGGGCTTGGAGCAACCTGGGATAGTGGAAGAGGGTGGAACGAGATGAGCTTAAAGGTTCCATCCAATCCTTAACATTCTATGGTTCTGTGAAATGTCAGTGGTGAAAATGTAATCAGTTACTCTGGGTGGCTTTTCAGTTGAATTCACAGCACCAGACTCCCCAGGATCCCCATCTCGCATAGCACTGGGCTCCCCGGGATCTCTATCCTGCATATCGGGCTCCCTGGGACCCTACACTGCATCAGGATCCCGAGGACACCTACACAACACTGGGCTCCCGGGGACTGACAGACACACAGCACTAGGCTCTCTGGAACCCCCATCCCACACAGCACTGGGGTCCCCCAGGAGATCCCACAGACAGCACCGGGCTCCCCGGGACGCCCATCTCGCACAACATCGGGCTCCCTCGTTCCCCCCCACACAGAACCGGGTTCCCAGGGACCCCGCTACACTGCACTGGGCTCCTCCGAGACCACCCACCCCCCCTCCGGCTGCTCTCAGTGGGTCCCACCCGACACCGGCCTGGGGCTCCCGCCCCAACGTCCCCGCGGGTCCGCGGGGCGAAGCAGCCCCGGCCAGGCCGCTCACCACCGCCACGGCGTGCGGCATGGGGCCGGTGATGTCCCGGCATCGCGGGGCTGGGGCTCCCGGCTGGGGCTGGGCAGCGGGCTGGGCGCGGGGCTGGGCACAGGGCTGCGAGCGAGGCTGCAGCGGCGCCGCCATGGCGGGCGGGTGGGCGGGCGGGCGGGCGGAGCGAGGCGCCGCCACAGCCATTGCCGAGGGGACGCGCGGGCGGCGGGAGGGGCCTCGTGGCGGCGGGCGCTGAGGGGAGGGTGCCGTGGAACCGCGGGTTGATGGAGCTGCCGGGGCTGGAAGGGAGCTCCGAGATCGTCCAGCCCGGCCTTTAACCCGGCGCTGCCGCTGTAACGCCGGAGCCACCAAACCGTGTCAGCCCGTGTGGGTCTGGCCGCCTCCGGAGCGCCGGCGGGGGAGTGGTGACTCCGCCGCCTCCCTGCGCAGCCCGTTCCGATGGATGGCCACCCTAAAAATGATTTTTTTTTTCCCCTCAATAGCTAGTCTGAATTTCTTCTGTCTCAGCTCGAGGCCATTTCCTCCTGTCATCGTACTGCAGGCAGGATAGAACAGACCAACCTCCACCTTGCTACAACCTCCTGTCCGGGAATTGCAAAAAACAAGAAGGTTCCCCCCCACCCCGAACCTCCTTTTCTCCAGGATAAACAAACCCAGGTCCCTCTGCCAACCCTCATAAAACATATTTTCTAGGGCCTTCACTTGTTGCCCTTCTCTGGTCACTCTCCAGCCCCTCAGTGTCCCCCTGGGCTCAGGGGATGGGGTGGCTTCCCACAGGATTCCCTCAGGATTCCTGGAAGGCAGCATGGCCTTTATTCCCATCCTGGCTCAAGGCACAGCTCAGCTGACTCACTTGTATCAATAAATAATTTTGCTTCAATGACTTTGTCCTCTCTCAATTTCATTGATAGGTGAGTACATGGCTATGGAGAAAGTTGCTGACTCTGTGCTATTCCCAAGTAAATACACCTCTTCCTGATGCAAGGTAACTTTGCCACAAATGGAAAAGCAGACCACGAGGAGCTGTGTGGGTTTAGGACTTACTCCTTTCCATGTCCTGGTGCTTCATGTAAATGGTAAGGCTGTCTGGATGCTGACATGCCACATCTGGATGCATCAGCATAAGTCGATTCCAACACTGCAGGGAGAAGAGTGTTCCTGGCTATGGACGTCAGTCTTCCCAGTGCTGTGTACTGGGTTATGATGCAATCTTGTTTTGGCTCTCATTTCATGTTAGTATTGGAGAAATATGAGGGTGCTAGAAACTAAATACTGTTTTGCTTCAGCCATAAGACCTCATGGACACAAGGGAGAAGGGGAGGGAAGTTAACCTGTGTTCACTGCTTAAGTGCAAAGAGGTGTTAGGGCCAGTAGGAGAGGTGAAACTGAAGACTTGCCCTTGTTCTTGTGGGGGGCTTTAACCTGCCAGATGTCTGCTGGGAACTCCATACAGCAGAGAAGAGACAGTCCAGGAGATTCCTAGAGTGTACAGAGGATGATTCCCTGCTTCAGCTGGTAAAGGAGCCTACCAGGGTTGGGGCTCCGCTAGACCTGCTGTTCACAATCAGAGAGGAGCTGGTGGGAGATGTGGTGGTTGGAGGCTGTCTGAGAAGGGTATCAACAAAACCTCTACCCCAGACTTTCGGAGGGCAGACTTGGGCCTATTCAGGAGGCTGGTTTGGAAAGTACCTTGGGAAACTGCCCTTAAAAACAAAGAGGTCCAGAAAGGATGGACATACTTCAAGAAAGAGATCTTGAAGGCCCAGGAGCAGGCTGTCCCTGTGTGCTGAAAGGTGAGCCAGCAGGGAAAACGACCAGCCTGGCTGAACAGGGAGATTTTGCAGGAACTTAGGGGAAAAAGAGAGAGTTTATTGCCTTTGGAAAAAAGGGCAGGCAACTCATCAAGTGTTTAGGAATGTCCTTAGGTCATGTAGAAAGAAAATCAGAGAGGCAAAAGCACAATTTGAACTTAAGCTGGCCAATTCTGTTAAGGGTAACAAAAAATGTTTTTATAAATAGCAAAAGGAGGCGCAAGGAAAACCTCCATTCTTTGTTGGGCACAGCCGGGGGGAGGCGGCAAAAACATAGTTACCAAAGACAAGGAAAAGGCTGAGGTACTTAACATCTTCTTTGCCTCAGTTTTCAACAACAGACAGGTTGTCCTCAGGACAGCTGGCTTCCTGAGCTGGTAGACAGGGACAAGGAACTGACTACTTATGAAGAATTCAGGAAGACAGCTAGATTATGCAGACAGAAAATCAGGGATGAAAAAGCACAATTTGAAGTTAAATTGGCCACTTCTGTTAAGGATAACAAAAAGTCCTTCTATAAATACATTAATAACAGAAGGAGGGGCAAAGAAAACCTCCATTCTTTGATGGACTTAGAGGGAAACATAGTTAATAGAGATGAGGAGAAGG